ACCCCCCCCCCCCCCCCCCCCCGGTTTATCGTTAACCTTTGGCCATAGTAGCTCAAATTTCAGAGGAGATGGCTTTCTAGGCGCCGCGCTAGCCAAGATTTATCGTATACAGCGATCATCTAACAAAAGTGCGCAACCAAGGCGAGGGACATCACTACACGTGTAGAGGCCATGGTTTTCGACCCATTGTTTATGTCGACGTTGAATGACGGCTTCCGACGTCCCTTCTAACACGGGGTCTTCAAAGATAACATTCCGATAACCCTCGCGGATCATTTCAACACATGTGGCCCTAAGGTGGTACCAGCTGCGCTCGTAAAACTCCAGGTCAGCCATACAGGCCTCGCCGAGCTTTTCAATGGCTCTAGCCCAGTCTTTATCGGATGTGTTGATATAGGAGGTGCGATAGATGGCCCATCCCCATGGCCAACCTCCACTCTGGCTTTGCATGCTGTCGATTGAGTTGCTCAACGAGGGTTTCTTCGGGTGGAAACTCAGATGAACGCCATGGTATAGGCCATGACTCATCATGAAAGATACTGGGTGGATGTAGATTCCATGGCATGGTTCCCACAACGTTGTTGCAAGTGGATGCATGTAGTTGGTTAGGAACTTCCACGGGGTTGGATGTTCTCTTTATGTCTCACTTAGCGCCTGGGCGTCGAATGTAATCCCGAGGTAAAGTCAGGCCACTATCCCCGCGGATCTATCTTCATCGAAAATGGCCTCTGGCACTCTCTTCTTTTGTACCGACCAGATTAATACACCGTTCGAGAAAGATATCTATTCCCCGCTTCCCTTTTATCTGCATCTGTCAAGATTCAGTCTTTGTATAGAAGACACCTTTGAATCTACCGTGTTCGTTTCATCGAATATTTACCTAATTGACAGGCTTCTACCCTGACAGGTAGTTACCCTTTACATTCTTTGTCTAAAACTTCCTAACTAATAGTAGATCTATTTCCTAAACTTCTGATATTGACCGCAGACGTCGAGAACATCGCGGCTGAAAACTCATGGATGTATTGTTACATTATCCTTAGACACTTAGAACTTCCTGGATTGCTGGGCCACCCTGCTTCCCAATTTTCACAAACGGAATAAGAAAGACCGAAATCCCAGTCGTCACCGCTGCGAAGCGAAAGGTGAAGAGATAAGGAATTACATCGGTGGTTGTGGAGTTCGCCTTTTCCTTGATAGAAATGTATATTGCAGTTGAAATCCCCAGTGATAGATTACCGCATAGTCTGGTAATAGTATTGAATATCCCACCCGCAACCGACTGCTGCTCCGGCAGCGAGTTCATCACATACATCTGTATAGCTGTTAACATATCCAGATCTTAGTTAACCAAAAAGGCTACAGCCGCGTGGAGCACCATGCGGCGCAGGCCGGTACAAACTCACATTTGTTACGTTGTACTGAACATCAACCCCAATGACCATCAATATCAGGCTTGGAAAGATGAACGCCCAGTACGACGCCTCTTCTCTCAGAAAACTCAGGATGAGGAAGGCTACTGTGTATGCCACAGTGCCGACTCCCATTAGGACCTGATTGCTTACTTTGTGGAGAATAAAAGCACAAACAACATTAACTGCTATGCCGCCAATGACCATGGGTAGCAGTTCAAGGGCGATCTTAATGGCGGAGTCTTTGCGGACATTCTGGAGCAATAGGGAGAGCCAGAATGTAGTGGAGGAGAACCCCATCTCCCCTAAGCATTGGACAGTGATCACCTGCGTGCAATGTGTTCTGTCAGCGAATTGAGTTGACACTATTTCCCTCAGATCCAGCAATGGTCTACGCACCGCGGAGAATGTTCGGTCCTGCCATATAACGAGCGGCATTAGCGGGAATTGCGCCCTTGACTCCCACCATACGAAACAAACAAGCAGGGCGGACCCAACGCAAAGCAGTGCGATTACATATCCCGTACTCCAGCCATGTGGAGCATCAGCTGCCAGGCTCCAAATAGTCAGCACCAGTACTCTACATGGAGTGGAACTAGTCATGCTCACGACAAAGAAGCAGTCAGTGACGCAAAACCGACAATGATAAATACCGTCCCCATGACATCGAACTCTCTCAGGGACTCGATAGACAGGGGTACATTACTCTCGTCCGGTGGGAAAGCCCAGGCGCCTGCCATAGTGAAGATTGCATAGAGAATGGCAAGGGCGCGGAACGACGTCCGCCACGTTGAAATATCTGCCGCGATGCCAGATATCACCATACCTCCTACGTACCCAAGTGGATTCCCGGCACTGAAGCATGCAAAGGCGCGGTTTTTGCGGACAGAAGAAGTCTCATACACAGCGCCAAGTTTGCCGATTGCAGGTGGAACGACGCTGGCGGAGAATAGCCCAATGACGCCCGAGAAGACATTCAGGTAGATGGGGGAGGATGCAAAGCTGGCAGCCAAGACAGCAAAGGTGAATCCCACCATGCCAAAAAGGAAAAGCTTTTTGCGGCCGCATATGTCGGCGATTCGGCCAAACATGAGGAGAAAGGCGCCGCTTGTGAGACTAGGCCATGTGCAAATATCAGTTCTACTCCACTCCAGTAGGATAACCTGGGTATTACTGACGAGCAACCAGCACTTATCCAGGTGATTTCTGCAATGTTCATGCCCAGATCATGGCCAATAACGGCGGTAAGACCGACAGTGAGCCCCGTGAAAAAGGATTCCTGTGCAAATGCTATTGTTGTCGATAACACGAATAGAAACTCTTGGGTAGTTGACTTTAGGCAAACTGGTCGTCTTCCTCTTTCGTGGTCGCCAACGGGGGCCAGCTGGTCGTCAAGATCATGTTGATCTTTCTCTCCCATTGTATTGAATATATTGAGTAGCCTTGTAGGCCAAATACGATGATGTTTGCCCTTACCGACCGAGAACATAGGAGGTTCAGCGGTGATAGAAATACCAAAACCTCGCTGTTTCAATGGATGAAAGAAGGCAAAAAGGGATGCTCAAGTTGGCGCACGTAATTTCGAATGACCTTAGCAATACAACTGCGACGGCTGTTTATCTGTCGTACAGGCTTTTAAACCCAGAAATAAGCCCTGGTAGGATATCGTGAAACTACCAGACCCAGTCCTGATCATGTGGAGACTTTCAATCACACTCGGCAAGAGCAATGGTGAAAGGGACGAATGCTCACCAAAAATTCTGGTCACACAATGTTGATCGATCATGGATGGAAGTGTAACCTTGGAGGATACTCACGGATGATAGCATATTTGGCTCGTCAAGGATGGGGCCGAATAGGGGTATAATAAAAGCAAGGGGGTTGGGCAACGCAAGAGAAACAGTCAGTTCTATTACGCAGTAATAGTTTCAGCGGTGAAAGCAGCCGAGTCATGGGAAGTGCGAAAGTCAAACTCATACAAAAATTAAAAAAGATTCCAATTTGGTCCAGGTATAATATTGAGATCTACATCCAGTCGCCCGGCGTCAGTCCGTCAAACGACCGAATTTTCCTCCACAGCTGTCGAAATGAATACTCGACTCGTATTAACCACCTAGCTACTAACCAGTCTTAGATAGCTTCTTATTACAGATTCCAGCTATCTGGCCATATCCCCTATTTTGCTCCAATACACACTCTCTTGATCCATTGGTCTACACGTTACTAGGCGTTAGACTTCCTACTGCGTTCGATAACAGCCTTAGAAACCTGTATTGATAGATCTCACATTGCCAAGTACAACCCTCCCCTGAAACGCCTGGATTCCTTTATTATCGCAAATGTGTGCGTCATGTCACCAAAATTCTGTCAATCAAGCCTGCCATCGTACATAGAGTAGGACTCGCCTGTAGCTCGTGGAGGAAAACATTGGCACCAAAAACAACCTGGATCTGCTGTAGGAGATATGCTCCCTGAAACTCACTGCGAATAAACGCAAAAAAATTATCTCCACTGGTAAATTTCACAGCTGGCATGGCTAGGACGCCAGCCCATATAGAAGCAAGCTTCTGCTCTGTTGTGTGAGCAGTATCATTGTCATTTCCCTGGATATATGAATCCAACGTTGCAATATATCTTCGAGAAAGAGCTTTACGGTCGACCTTGAAGTGAAAATTGAGGGGGAAGCGATCGATGACCTCGATGTGCGGCATAGCCTCCATGTATGGAAGATATGGTGCCAGGGCGCTCTCAATTCCATCCAAAACTTTATCCTTCGCGACATCCTCAGCAGGGATTACATACGCAACGAGTAGTTTACCCATTTCTTTGATCGGAGAGTCGATTGCCAGTGTCACGGCGTCGGCAAATCGACTGGTCCTCATGAGTGCTGCTTTCACTGCAGCCAGTTCAATCCGCATGGTGAAAATGGTAACCTGATGGTCCTGCCGGCCAAGATAGTAAACCTGTCCAGACGAAGAGTCGCGTCGAACGAGGTCTCCCGTCCGATAGAAACGAGTTGTTTCATCTAAACCTGGGAGGTCTTTGATGTTGATAAAAGAAGTCGTGTTCTTCTCCTGGTCGTTTATATATCCCAGTGAAACTCCCGGCCCACCTAGGAAAAGCTCTCCGACCTCTCCGTCGGGGACAGGCTGCAATGCATCGTCGAGAATATGAACAACAGTATCTCCGGTCGGTTTTCCAATGCTCACGGGCTCAGAATGAGTGTCGTTTATGGAAAGCTCGTGTGCAAAAGACCAGCAACATGTTTCAGTAGGGCCATAGGCATTGATTAATCGAGTGGGCGCCGCGCCGCTTTCGAGCAGTCTGGCAACAGCCTTGGGGCTAGCGGCATCGCCGCCGAAAAGAACCATCCTCAGCGTCGAAAAAGCTCCTGGCTTAGTGAAAGAGACGAGGTTGAGTAAGGCAGTCACAATGATCATGACGGTGACCCCCTGCTTTCGGAGCGTTGCTTCCAGAGTACGCCCGTCAAAGGCATCAGCATAGGGCAGAATAGCAATCTGCGCCCCCACAATGAGCGGCGCCCAGATTTCCACGAGCGTGTAGTCGAATGTTGTGGGGATATAGTGTGCCATAATATCCGAGGGCTCGAGTGGGCTGGTGGGGATGTGATGGATAATGTGGAGCAGCGAGAGTGCTGATATTTGAACCCCTTTGGGTTCTCCTGTTGTGCCTGAAGTAAACAGAATGTGGGTTCGGTGGTCAAGGGCTGTAGTAACTGGGATTTGTCCATCAAGCCCATCCATTTGCACTAAGGACAGGAGTGTACCCCGGTCACTTATCCGGATACATGTAAACATAGGCAGGCGGAACTTGTTTGGTTCGTCCACGATCAGATACTTCACCCCGACACCAGCCAGCTTGCGCTGCATCTTCTCATCACTCTCATCTGGATAGACGGGAACTAGCGTCCCACCAGCATATATCACTGCTAACTGAATGATAACGTTCCATGATCCGGGGCTGACCAAGACTCCCGTCGGCTCTTCTAGGGCGTATGCGTTGCTGCGTAATTGGAAGGCCAGGGATAATGCGCTAATATGTAACTCTTCATAGGTGATCACTGAGTCGATATCGATAATGGCAGGAGACTTCGGCTGTCGACGGACATTGTCAATGAATAGCTGCGCGATACTGGTGTTGGCCTTAACCCGCTGGTGGTGAAGGCAGTTCGGAGAGACCTTAGTTAAAACACTCATTTTCCAGATCTCTGCTCGAGATAGTCTGTGTTCACCTTGCTATCCGGTCCAATTCTGTACACCATCAAGGCTAGATGGAAGCGTTATTGCCTGCCATTTTGCCCGCACTATACGTCATTTACACCTTCTATACAGCTGCATTGATGCCCAAGGGTTCACAAAAGTTCAAATATTATCTATTATCATAATTAACTCAGAACGCGAGAGGAGTTGTTTGTATCAATATTTTGCACACCGCTATTTCCCCTATGTGCTGTTAGATGCAGGTCTTGCAGGATACATTATATGACCTACTCCAACATACCGTTGTCTTTCAATTCTAGCAGCAATTCATGCAGAATGCTGACTTTAATCCAGCCAAGATTCGCCATCAAAACTCTGTCTGCTGCCCCATTGCAGGTGCTCTCGAAAAAGGGATAGATGTAAGGGCTGTACAGTAGGTGGCCAAAACACTCAAGCCATAAAGTAAGAGCTCGGTTTATAAAACGAATTTCGAATTCAATGATACTATTCATGCTGCCCAAGTGCATTGATAGTAATGTGGCAAGTAGTAACTTTTACAAATAAATGGGCTGTTCTTTCTTTACAGCAAGTCGCTGGAGTGACGTGGTTAAAGAGGCTAAATCTGAGCTTCAGTGGATAATGAAACTCAAATATAGACAGATAGGTTCGAGTTTCATCTATTAACTTTTGTAGGAATATGTCTGCCCAATATTTTGCCCCGGTTTTACACAAGCTGTGTTGCATATTACTGCCAGAACCTTTGTTTTTCGACTTGCGCTGTAGATAGGAAACTGGTATAATCATTTTGCATTCGCTTTATGACCATAGCCAAGTTGTTACCCAGTATCAAGAATCTAGTTCAGGGGTTCCCATCATCTGGCAGTGCCTGGCGGTTCCACCCCTGATCACGATACTCTTCTTTGGCCAGATGCCACCACGCCCAGGTGCAATGATACCTTTGCTGTCAATTGCATCCTTTAGTGCCTCGTGAGAGCGCAGCAATGCACGGTCATTCCATAAATACATCTGTGCCACTTGATCAGCCAAGAGGATATGAGCCCGGTAGACACCATACCCGGCCACCGCACACTCATCAATCAGGCGCCTAATCAGTATGTGTGCTTAGCGCTTTTCGACTGAATTTCCCAGAACTTAAAAATTTGGTCCACGATCCACTCAGTAATCTCAAGTGAGTAGTACTCCTTGAAATTCTCCTTCTTATCCTGGTTTGATGTCCGCTGATTATGAGAGCAGGCTATTACGCCAGTCTAAATCGAAAAAAGCACAATAAGCCATGTCATCAACAATCTCATCGTCTCAATCTCGCCGACGTGCTATGGAATTTCCCAGTCGGTCAATTCTGTCAACCCACAAATCCTCGCTGCTTCGGTTGGATGATGTAGATGACGCGCAACCACTGAGCGTTTTGACCCAAGACATGGAGGGTGTGCCAATCAAAAGTCTCGGCACATGGGTGCACCAGTCTCAAGCGCACGATAATATTCATGCTGTCTCTGAATACATATAGCAGAATTCATAAACAGTTTACCCCAAGGCACTCATTCTTTGTTGGTCGGGCCGTATCCGAGACCATGCTAACCCCTGTCTGGATTGGCGGTAATCTAATACCTGCTCTTGAGTGAATAATTACGTACGACTAATATTGATATAGGTTAGTGCGGTTTTGTCTTGGGGGTAAACTGTTTTCGAATTCTGCTGTACCAGAATGTGAGCCGAAGGGCGAATAGGGTGAGTAAAGTAATAGAATAGCAGGTACTAACGCCGCTCCTAGTGTTGCTCACTCTATTAGACTATTCGGGAGGGGCGGTAGCGCTCATTATTGTTGAAGTAGTAGTATTAACCTAGTTCTAAGGAGGGGATGATTATGTGGTAGAGGTCAAAACAGTGAAATTAATTATCTGTGGGCTCGTAGTGAGTCGACCCTTATATCAGGTGGTCATCGGTGAGCCCAGCTGAGGAGGCACCGGTGAGCTCACCTGTAACCTGCGAGGCAGCGATGTATGTTTGTCGGTGTTCCAGATATAGCTCTCCATAATCAACAGTATGGTCAACGTGTATGCAAGATTGACATTTTTACATTTCAAGTACAGAAAACTGGTGGAAAAAAGCCTCTTACTTACCGGTATCTTCTAGATCTCTAATGGAAGCGACATGCTGGTCGGGGCGTCGGAGTATCATGCAGCCCTGCGGGCCGATGCCATACCGCCGATAAGCATTACCAGACAGATGCGGGTAGCCCTGGCGACCCACAAAGACCTTTGTGTAGTCGTAACCAATAACTGAGTTAAATGGTCTGAAGATGGCTGGGGTCTCTATCCATTCAACAGATTCTGATGCATTGTGGATAAGGTAAACCCCCGACAGTCCCAACCAAACTCCCCTGAGCCCCCCGATTCAGGCGGCTAATTAATGACGACGGTTGGGCGAGTTCCTTGGAAAGATGCTCCACACGAGCCATCTGGGCTTCGCTAGCAATATCGCCCCCAAAAGACGACCAGATGCCATTGGCCTGTGCTGAGAAGTTCCTCCTGTAGATGCCAAGGGCGAGAATCACTTTGGCATAGCACAAGTTCACTGGGTAGCCTACGGCCGAGGTTGACGTGTTGAGCAAGATAGGGTTTGCTATGAGGGGAGATGTCTTGGTTTTCAAGGCAGAGTGTCCCATGAGCTGCCTGGGTCCCTGCCGCGGCCACTTAGGAGGCCGAGCGCGTAAGTTACCCCTAGTCCAGATGCTGAGGAGTTATCTTCGGCGAGTCTTGACATCAGGTCCTTAAATTTTCTCTCCGAGATATACAGCGTGGTGATCTCAGGCGTTGAGCATACCCTCTGACACATTCGCCGATCAAAGGAAATCAACCTCTCTGCTACGGGGAGATGCTCATCCTGATATGTCTGTAGGACACACGTGGGATTGCCCTGCCTTTCAAAACAAGAGCTAACTTCCACCCAATATTGTACGAATCCTGTTGCCGACATTCATTCCTTGGCCAGCCTTTGGAGAGTGGGTATGGAGGGAATCGCCTGCAAGAAAGCTTCTATCATGCAGTGAGAAAGTACGACAAATTCCTCTTCCAACCTAAATTGGAAGTATGAGCCCCTGAACGCATGATAATGCTGGGTGGGAGGGGGATCTGAGGACTAACACGGTAGATAGTTAACCATTCAATATGGGTCGAGGCGAAGGTATATGGGTGAAAGATCTCTCTCAGAAGGCCAACCAGCAGCGATGGGTTACGGTTTTCCTCCAACTTCGTAGCAACGGCAGCGGATAGCTGAATGTAAAAGCGAACGATCATTCGCTCTCGAGGTATTATCATGATGTTTTCTCCAAGTGACTTGATGATGCATCTCTTCCGGACATCGGCTTTGTATCGATTAGCAGGCTACTACCCAAGCGGTAGATATGAAGACAAACGAAAGTCTGTGATAGGTAAGCAGTCGACTCCCCAGTGATCCTCATCTGACACCGTATTAAGTGTTTTCGAACCCAGCTATGAGCACCGTCACAGCCTATCAAGTATTTTGCTCGGACCCTGTGTTGAGACGACCGACCCCTGCATTAATCAGAAACAGGCGCGGAAAATTAGTACGTCAGTCTCGGGTCCCATACCTCTACATTCGGCCTAGTATGTTTGGAGATGAACTTGGACAGGGTAAGCACTCATATCGTCCGGCTTAACCGAGTCAACTTTCAGGGAGATTGGAGTCGTGTCCCACTTGAGTTCAATGTTTCTATGACTTTGTAGAAGCCCCAAAAAGTGCTGTTCTACCCTGCCATGTCCCAACGTAGCCTCTTGATATCTAGACAATCTCTGATTGTGATTGGTCGCGACGTCTGTCCTGCGAATTTGGCCATCGAATTGGTCCTATCATTTGCTTGTCAGCGACAAGGCCTTGAAACGTCCTGGTGGTGTATGTCTTACCCATAGACAAACCTTAATTGTCCTATTGGCTTCCGCCCAAATGGCTGCGCCAATTCCAAAACTGTCCAATATTTCCAATGTCCTACTTTCTAGCCCGTCGGCATGCCCTACTTTGGTGTGCGAAAGCTTCTTCTCAACAACCAAGGTTTTGATTCCTGCCTGAGCCATCCACGTGGCGGCCATCAGCCTGCGCGTATGTCAGTTATGGCTCTATTAAACATAATACTATGCATTGATGGTCACCCAGATGGGCCAGCTCCAACTATGATAATATCAAACGTCTCAGAGAAAGCCAAATAAAAGCTTGTGGGGGAGACAAGAGGTACCCGTGCCCCTTGGTGCCAGATTGATGCGGACCTTTATAGTATGCCTTGGAGAAAACCTTTCGTCAAATTAGCAGAAATGGTTAGGCAATGTCATAAACACTGTATGGCTCAGCTGCAAAGCGACAGTTTATAGTAAAGGCTCTGGGATCATTGCTAAAATTTCACAGTATATATGACTTCCGCAGCCTGCAAGGTTCACCTTAGTTCACATATGCGCTGTTGGGCCACGTACTCAGTGATGCTCGAACTAGACCCTTGACTCACCGACTGATTTCTAACCCTCAAAATGTATGGAAGCATGAATTTCTTGAATTCCAACAGCTTCAGAGGTACTCCATAGTACTTTGAGAAGAACAAGCAAGGTTTCTAATAAAGTGTTTCTAATATTTAATATTATCAATCTACAGTTACTTTTATCTGCAGCCGGGAACAAGGTGTCACAAATGTAACACAAGTCCCCCGCTCTGTCCTACCTGTATTCGTGACAACAGCTAAACTTCGTATGGTCAAGGCATGAGGATGTAGATCGTTGGGAACCCTTTTCTATAGGGTACATTCAATTTCGACGTTGAATTATTGTCAGTCAAAACGTAAAGAACATTGAGTGCAGAGACACTAGAACAAGATGTTGGATGAAGTATGTGAGATACCATTGGTGATCAATCATTGCACTAAAGAAGAGAGGAACTAACCCCAAATGGTGGATGTCCAGAGAACCAAGAATCGCACATTACTATATCTAGGTAACCGACCGATTCCCTATATCTTTATAAAGCTTTCTCAATGACGTCTCTGGGAACCTTAATTTCCCTTAATGGTGCATTTATTATTTTGTTTATTATAATGAATGCTCACCACCCGCCTTAAGTCCGTGCGTTTCCTAATACCCTCCCACCCCCAAGTCTTTCTCTTTATTTTTCCGCCCTGCTTCTGATACGATGCTCCGAGCTTAAGAGGCCCATGACATAACTAGTTATGTACCCTGCTTTGCCTGTCTTGTTTCCTAGGAAGGCAATATTGAGTCTTGCTCTAGAAAGTATGGGTGTGACAAGCCAGTGCCATTGGATCTCCACCTCTATAATAAAGACCGAGAAAGCCGCATAATGTGGTTCTGTAACTAGTAATTTTCTAAGTCGTACTGCGATAACCAACGGCGTGGTGGAGGGACATCATCAAATTAATACAATTACTTCAAGGAGCGATTGCCAGCGATTGACAGCGAGCTAGGCTTAAAAACGAAAGTGGGGGAGAAATAAAGGATCAGAGGAGCCAATGTGTCATTGATTCCCGACGACTCCTTGCTCCACCGTGGAGAAGCTTCCGGCTCCCTCTGTCAAACCTGTCACCAATCTCAAACGCTGATTGGTCCTTTTGCGCGCCAAGAAATGCCCTTATTTATTGGCTCGTCGTGCTCCCTTCTGATTTGCTGCTGTGTCTCCATGCTCAGTTTCTGATTGGCCCTGCGTCTCTCTAAGCTTTCTTCTGATTGACGCTTTGTTTCTTTCGTTTCCTTTCCTTCCTTAGGCTTCATGCTTCGCCCTCTATTACTTTTTCTAGGTACCTAGGGATCCTGTCCTTCTTATTTCTCCTTATGTGAAGCATCACTTTCTACCCCAATTATGCCAGACTATAACGCTCCACGCGATTTGAGACCTGCCACGATTGCCGCCAGAGTGCTGCTGAGAGGGGTACTTCACATACTCTGACAATGACATATTGATGTTAAGGGTTAGTTGCTAATTTCTTACTTCAGTACTTTCTTATACTCGTTTCTTTCCTCTTTTATACTTAGAGTAAATAGAGATCGTCGATCAACAGAATGCCGCGCTCATCTTGGCTGTGTGGCCCTAATACGGTGGCCAAAGAAAGCAATTCGCCGGACTAGGTCAGGGCATATGCCCACTCTATAGTCTCATTTCATTCTCTCGTCACCTATATTTTCTTATTGTCCACCACTATAACCCTCATCTACACCACCATATCATCCCCGAGTTGCCTATCCTTATAATTGTAATTCACGCTAGCTTGGCTTATCTTGCATCAAAAAGAAATAACGTAGAACATTGGCAATTTGAGCTTCGACGTGTCTATAGTGCTCTTCACGACTACCTTAACTTTAAACATGCCTCACCGCATCTCCGCAGTCTAGTATATGCTATAAAGCTCCTAACAAGACCAACTAACTGTTATGTGGCAGGAAGAATGTCAAATCAACTTGTGCATTTCAACGAAAGTATCAAGACTAGAGAGAGAAAGGAAGAAGAAGAACTATCTACTTAGGGGTTTCCGGTTAAACCTCTTTCTCTCCCAATTTGGTGGCCATGCATGCAGTGTCAACCATCCTGAGTACTGATGGCTTAATCGTCACAATAACCACTTTATTAGCGCCAACAACACCACCGAGTTACTCTACAGTGTGCTGCAAAGCAAGGGATTTTCATGTTACGCTGCATACCAGAAGTGACGTAGGTTTGCCATTTCTGACGAGTTATTTACATACGTATATGTAAATCGTATAAACTACAAGCCGCAAGGTTCGTTAAATGCAACCCATCGGATCCGGACTGAGGTGCATTAGCAATTTTGTGTTAAATAATTATCGTTAAATCAATTCTCAGTGGTCTATCTATAAGTAGCCGTTCGTGCCCACTGCAAGGGAAAGAAAGCTCTATTTCGAACATATAGATCTAGGATCGTTGCAACCCAGGGATATTTGTCAGTGGATGGTTTTACCGTGCAAAGAACCTATCTCCAGTAAGACCACGAACCTAAACTTGCAGAGATCTAGCTAATACATAAGTTACAGCCCTATCACAGACAGCATCAACAGGCCATTAGTTCTCTCTATTACACTGAACCTCTTCATCAACATGGGCAGTATTCATAACTCCCTGGAACTTTCTTCCCAGTTAAGCGGAAAATCCCTTCGCATTCCAAACCTGCAAGCCGTCTTTCAGCATTGGCCTTCTGCCATAAACACGCGGCTGGCTTGCCTCCGGCAAGAAATTGATGGATTGCTTGAGAATAACCATTTCCAATCAGTCAAAAGTGACCTAATTGAGATGCCCAGGACCATTGACGATGAGCGAAAACTCAACGCTTTGAAATCTTGTGACTTCGCCCTCCTGACATGCTAGTATGTGACAGATGTGCCAATTAGATCAAGTAACCACTCGACTTACAGTATTAGCTTATATCCGCAAGCCAAGTGGGAGGAGCTTCGAACTGCTGGAGTTTTCATGCTGTGGATGTTTTTGTGGGACGATGAAATTGATGATGGCGGCACCCTAATTGCTCACAGCGAAAGCGCCGCCAATTCCTATTGCCAAGACTCCTTGGAATATGCTCGTTTAGCTCTAGGGCTGAATACGACAGACGGCAGCGTATTCCAGAATCAGAATTTTCAAAACATGCAGTGCCCGGTTTCCACAATGCTCTATTTCCGAGATGCTTGTCAAGTTCTAAGAACAGTAATGGATTCAGGTTTGTTTTATTCGAGAGTGATTTGGAGAGTACAGAGCTAATTAATACAAGGTCAACGCAATCGATTATTTCGGGAGCTACAGTCCTACATGATTTGGACTACAAAAGAACAGGTGGCTCGTGAATCAGGGCAAGTTCTGAAACCCGATCAGTACTTAGAATTACGTAACTGGACATCGGGGATATACCCAGTTATTGCTATATTTGAGTGAGTCGTGCTCTTGGTCAGGCCACCTGCTTCTTCACTAAGAGGATAGGTTCATCACCCAAGGGAAGCTTGGCGAATCTCTGATCGAGTCAGAGGATATGAAGGTTATTTGGACAGAAACCTGTTTTCTATGCATGCTGTAAGACATATCAACTCCCCCACACACTATTGGCTCTAAGTGTATTTCTCATAGTATTAATGATATATATTCTGCGAAAAAAGAATTGGTAAGTGAATATTCAAGGACGTCAAAGCTACCAGTCTGATACATCTAACTAGGCCTCCGGGTCTGTGCTCAACGTAGTTCCCATTCTCTTCCATGCTGATCAGGGCAACGACCTTGACGACGTTATGGAAAACCTTGTGGGAAAATTGACGCTGTCAGTCAACAAATTTGAGCAATCGGCGACCAAGTTGGAGTCAAAATTGACAGAGTCTCAATTGCTGCCACAAATGCAGCGATATCTCGATACTTGTCGTACCACTGTTACAGGGCTATTGAATTGGTCTTTGTCTACACAGCGCTATGGTCTGTCGGGTTATAGCAACAATGACGGGTGCATGATAGTTACGTTGTAGTTTAGCTTCTCTCACGACCAATCCTCCAGGGACTTCTACGTTAAAAGGGCAGCTGCTTTTGCTTTTACTTCACCAAATGAAGCAATTCTCGGGCTTTTAATCTTATGAGCATTCTGCTCTGATTGTTTCAAGAGTGTAATAAGCATATGAACAAGACGGTTAGAACATGGCGCATCCCACGATTTCCTGTTACGAGCAAGGCCTGGAGCTTAGTGCCTTGTTCAGTTGGCAGGCAGCACCGCACTAACATCGGTCTTAATATGAGGATTCGTGCGTGGAGAAGTCTGCGAGTAAGTCAGACTAACCAAGAACCCAACAAGTTACTTCTACACTTTCCTACCGAAGATGGAGAATAGTGGATTGTCTTCTGCAGATATCGGCCGGCGGGTGTTTGGAGTCCTCGAATTTCAGATGAGTAGGCAAAGAATATTCCCATCTGCTCAAACAGCCATCAACTTGAATTATGAAGGCTAGTTTCTGTTCGTCTTGACTTGTATTAACGATACCAGAGCGGTCTGCATTCTGATTATGGGTATGAGCCTCGGAAAAGAATTGGCGTACTGTATGATTAGTTATTTCATATAGTT